TGAACATATACAGTATGTACAGTATACTTTGTTTGAATTTTAAACCCTATGCAGGTCAATTGTAGATTTAATGACTCAAACAATGTAATTGTGTTTAAGCTTATCAATATTAAATTGCAGTTACTCCAGTGCTTTAGCATCGCACTCCTCTACCATTATTGGACTGTTAAAAATCAGAATCGATGCAGCGGAACCAGAGATAACGTCTTTCTTATTCTGTGTCTTTTTATTTTTGTGATTACCCACAATGCAACTCAACTGCCTACTGGTTGGCTGGAGATTTGGGTTTATTATTTTGGTGGAAGCTAATGTAGCTTCCAGCTGCTAGCTGCTAGCCTCAAGCAGAGATTAGGAGCAGAGTACAGAGGTCTGGTGAGCTCACATCTTTCCAACTACACACCCCCCAGGCTGCTTTCATTTTCTAACTCGAAGTCTTCATCCCCAGCTGGCGCTGACTGAAGTGACATAATTTGCGGACATTTAATAGATTTCTCAGACATTTGTGCCACAGATTAATGGCATAAGGATAAAAAATAATAATAATAAAAAAAAAATCCATAATAAATGACGATTTTAATCATCAGTTTATGATCAAATAATGTAAACACACCTAATATTTGTTGGTTAACCATTTAAAAATGTGTTTTTTTTTTGTTTTTTTTACTTTTTAAACCTGGAGAAATCAAAATTTGTATGCCTTATTAGCTGAACCGTAAACAAAATAAACAAGTTACTAGTCACTAATTACAGCCTAACAAGACAGATTTTAGTAAGTGTTGTATTATTGTTTTTTCTATAATCAAACTATTTATTATTTTTGTTGTGGATCCATGTGGCACTCAGTCTGTTTTCACTAATCCAATATTTTGCACTCAATCCAAAATGGACACATGGAAAACTTGCTCCAACCTGGAGTGTACAAATAGATGCTCCACCAGTAAACGTGCACTTCACAGTTCTCACTCTCGATCTCACCTAAAAAAAAAAACATGTAATACTCCTTAAGTAATTGACACAACATGTGATCAGAGTTGGCAGACATATTGTCTTGATACACAGACCCCGTATGACCCTATTTATGTCTCCGGTGAATCAGGTGGATCCATTAAAACCTCGACCCACTGACGGAGGGAGAGGTCTGAATGTTGTCTGAAATATTTCTGTGATCGTACAGCTGTGATCTATGTGTTATGTGGTGAGAAGGGCAACAACATGAGACAGCAAGAGAGAGAGAAACAGAAGCAAAGAGCACACATAATCTATGAATGGATGCCACGTCACACGAAGCCCTCAGAACCAACAAAATATACCCGAGTGCTCCAATTTTTATCCTATTTCTGTTTCCTTGTTATCAAGTCTGACCCAGGCTGAATCACCGCCTCAAATAGGCCGACACGCTTTATGTGTGTGTGTGTGTGTGTGTGTGTGTGTGTGTGTGTGTGTGTGTGTGTGTGTGTGTGTGTGTGTGTGTGTGTGACTGTGTCTGTGTGTGTGTGACTGTGTGTGTGACTGTGTGTGTGTTTGTTTGGAGTGCTCACTGCCTCAGGTCTGCTCTTCTCAGTGTATTGTGTCTGTACATGTGCTGCTAACCTAGTAGCTCAGAGATTTGGTTCATTATTGTGGGGAGAAATTTGGTCTGTATACTGTGTGTGTGTGTGTGTGTGTGTGTGTGTGTGTGTGTGTGTGTGTGTGTGTGTGTGTGTGTGTGTGTGTGTGTGTGGATGCCTGTGTACAGTGTATATTTGCAGACAAAGCAGTTATGTATCCCCCAAAGTGCAGCCGGTGTCCCAGATAGAGCGATCAAGCAGCATGATTATAATGTATTGCTCTAATATCGCCACATAGATAAGCATGAGATATTATTATGTGTGTGTGTGTGTGTGTGTGTGTGTGTGTGTTTGTGATAATTCTGCTGCTATCAATCTACCACACATTACATCTCTCACTTATCATCTCTCTCTCTCCACCATCATTAGCTCAAAATCACATTCACATTTTCTGCTTTCAGGCACACACATGCACACACATTTGCTCACTCACTCACTCACTCACTCACTCACTCACTCACTCACTCACTCACTCACTCACTCACCTCTCTCTCTCTCTTTCTCTCTCTCTCTCTCTCTCTCTCTCTCTCTCTCTCTCTGTAGTCATCTGTGTCTACTCAACTGGACTGTTTGGAAGCTGACTGTAAACCTTTACATGTCTCCATCTTTTCTGATCTATACAAACAAATACAATGAAGAAAGTGTGTCGTGCTCCGATGAAAAACGAAACAATGACGGTGAAGAGCATCACTTCCTCCTAGAAAATAATCCAAATGAATAAAAATAAAAACTTAAACCTTAAATCAAGAATCTGATTTCTGACCCCTGAGAAGAAGGATGAGTTGTCTTCATTGTAAAGACTTAAGAAAGAGTTCAAATATTGTGGTGCTAACAATAGCATGATCATCAGTTTAATTCATACTTGGATCACACATTCAATTACTGCTGTATCGTTTTTTGGGATAAATTTTCCCCTGCAAACTAATTATTGTAACCTGAATACAGGCCTTTGTTTGCTACATTGCTACTAAGAGAATAGTAACATTATATTATAGTCAGGGGTCTTTATCTGCTGCAGAGACACAGTGCACTAAAAACACACAACGCTCTCTTTGCCTTGCACTGGATTTAAGACTTGCCCTAAATAAAGCATAATATAGGTCTCTGAAGTGGGTTATTTCTAAGAGACGGTGGGCAGAAATGTATATTTAATATGTGGCTTTAAAGGCCATGTCACTGCTCTATTTACCTGGTGCTCAAAGGTATCTGCACAAATGAATTACAGAATTTTAGTGTAAAAAAACAAACAAAAAACAACACAACTTATGATGTAAAAACTGCGTATTCTTGTGCTATTACTTGTATTTTCTGTTATCGTGTCTTTCATTTGTTGCCTGAGAGCTAACTAACTGCTCACTGAGACGAAATGAAAACACCATGTTCCACCGACTGTCTCATTAGTGCAAGAGAGGAGGAAGCAAAAAAACAAAACAAAAACAACGAGAGACATGAGAGCGGAGAGGACGGAGGATGACAGGCAGAAGTGGACAGGGGAGAGGGCTGTGGGGACTATTTGCATTCAGCTCTTGTGGTGTGATAAAGAGGTGTGTTATGAACATGTAACCTTGTTGCCATCGATCATGCTGCTTGCCTGCGCAGCGTGGATTGGAGGAGATCTCGCAACACAAAACTTGCGTCAATGCTAAGTGGATTATTAGCTCATATACCTGTGTGGGCCTCATCTCTCTGTCTGTCTTCCCCCCTCTGCCCTGCAGTGGAGTGAATACTGAGTATTCATACATATGTTCAACACCAGATACAGTATGTGCAGTACATTATGTGGAGTTTATATCAGTGGATGCTCTGAAAGCTCTGGTCAATAATCTAATGTCATAAAGGAGAAGGATTTTTTTCTTATTGTCCACAAATCCCATGAAAAACCAACAATGTGTCTTTCAGTAGTTTTTCCACTTCTGTACCCTGCCTGTTGGAATTCAAGGTGCCACAATATTAGTTTTTCTAAGATGTCAAACAGTGCATTTAGTATTGTCTTTTTGTCAGATGCTGCTACATTTACCTCCATTTTAAACAAGGTCAGAAGAAGCTTGGTGCAAACTGCTTTATTTCAAGTACACCAAAGATTTTAGTGCTAATAAATTTCTTGTGAAGATATTAATCTCTAAAAAAACAGGCCAGATATGCAGCATAATAGTTTAACAACACAGCCGGACACTGTAGTGTTTAGCAAACTTATTTAACAAACTTTATAATTGGGGATTATTTTTCGCCACAGATTGTTACACATTTGATGTAGGCTACTTGTGAGTATTTCCAGCTGCAGAATGGTGTATGTGAGATTTACCCAAAATAAATTACAGTGCCCATGTTCATTGTAATGAAGGAACTTTGCGACTTATTTATGCATTTTTTTTGACAATGGAGCTCTACGGCACAGAAGAATAAGCTGTGACAGGTCTTTTCATCAGTCACTGTTGTCCTTTAAAAATATATGTAGAATTTGTAGAATCAGTGTTTGCCTATAATTAGGATGGTACGATATGTTTGTTATGGCCACACAAAATGATTGATTACACACAATTACATGTAACAACAAATTTACAGTACCTTCTTTCTAAGTATGTTACAGGTTCGTCCTTGATCAAACGACACTAACAGACATGATCCTCTTTACTTCACAGAGTTTTGAATGATAAATATCATCTAATATGTTTTTTTGTTGTTTTTTTTAAACACATGATGCTTTGAAAATTAACTAATGCGTTCTTATAATGGTAAAATAAATAATGAATTATATCAATACATTTTGTGCTTTTCTACAGCGTGAGCACTCAGAGTCTGGTTTGTTTAAATGAGGTTTATGGTTGCAGGGCTTTGGTCGGAGCTTGCTCTTATATTTTAATGATCCGGGCTCACAGGACGACCGGCTGCAGTTATCGTCCTTGCCAGAGATTTAAACCCACCCCTTCTTTTAAATTAGTCTGAACCCGCAATCCCATTTAGATAGCATTTGATCCGTCAGTACTCAAAGGAGTGATAGATAGATTTGTGATGATATAACATATGGCGTGGCTTCATCACTGAGCAGCGTAATTACCTTTCATGTTGTGTTTACGCCGACTGACTTCAAAGTCTTTGTTTATTTTTTAGGAATATATGTTTTCCAAAGCCTGTGCATCTTATTAAATGCTGCATTATGCAGAGCGTATCCCTTGAAACCATTATTTCTGCACACATTGCTTTGATACACGTACTCTATTGCTTTGAAGCTAAAAACTCTCTCTCTCTCTCTCTCTCTCTCTCTCTGTCCCTCACTCCCAACATCCCTCGTTCCCCATCATCTGTTTTTTTTTTCTTCAACTTCTTTTTTGTCCTCTGTTTTCTCCCTTATCGCCTTCATCTTATTAACTCTTCCCTCTCTCCCTCTTTCCTCAGTGGGGCGTTTGTTGATCGAGTTCAGCTCCCAGATGACGATGGAACGAGTGCAGAAAGAAAACCCCAACGTGACAGAGGGAGGCCGCTACACCCCTCACGACTGTCGGCCTAGATGGAAGGTCTGTAAATGTCTCTCTCTCTCTCTCACACACACACACACACACACACACACACACACACACACACACACACACACACACACACACACACACACACACACACACACACACACACACACAGAGCCTATTTCTACCTGCATGAGCAAAAAAATATATTAGAAGTTCTGCACAGGTCTGTATATAGCAGCCATTAAGATATTGGCTTTTCACGGACTAATCACTTCTCACACTACGGAGCATCATATTTGGTTGTTTAAAAAGGAGTTTGCTGCATTCACTTTCTCCTCTATCACATCTCACTGAGGTCAAGGAGCTTTCATTAGCAGTGAAGATTACAGCAAGGTAGTTGCACCCGTTGCAAATGCTTAACCATACAGAAAACCAAGGCCAATCTGCTGCCAATCTTCATCAGAGCGCAAAATTACCATGAACATACAATCGCAGTTCAACCTTGGACTGTTCGGACAGCTGAGAACGACTCACTCAAAGCACAAGAGATACAGAACTCAAACCCGACTAAGATCTGTGACGCCGTTGAGAGCTGCCTCCTCGAGCTGCTTCATTCATAATGAATGAAACCAACTTTATGTACACGGTGACATTAACCAGGAGGATTTTCTGCGGAAATGATTTTCTGGTGCAGAACAATTCACTGCAGGATGAGACAAAGCTCATTTAACTATAATTTTAGTCAATCAAACACTCTTTGACGCTCTGACACAGAAACACTCTCTCATTCTCTTCATCCGCATCAACAGGATAGTTTCAGATACAGTGTCTTAGAAGATTATAATTACGTCTTGTTTGTGTACTTCACCAGGATTGAGTAAACTGGTTTTCATTATCTATATATCTGCCGATTGTTTCCTCGATTACAATTGTTTTTTCCTAACAAAGGTCCAAAACCTTAAAAATTCAGTTTTTCAATGACTTTATCTATTAATCAATTATCAAAATAGTTCCCAAAATAGTTATTTTTATTGTAGATTGACTCATGAATTAATCGTCTAAGTTGTGGCTCTTGTTCTGCAACTGATTAAAAAAAACAAAGAGGTAAATTGTGGTTTATCATAAATTGACCAGTTGAATACAAACAAATTAACCACCAAAACCATTTCTTTTGCTTAGGTGGCCATTATTATCCCGTTCCGACACAGGGAAAACCACCTGAAATACTGGCTCCACTACCTCCACCCCATCCTCAGGCGGCAGAAGATTGACTACGGCATCTACATCATCAACCAGGTAGGTCAGCTGGGAGGCCGAGGGCTGATTATGCATCTGATATTTTCACTATGGATTAATCTGGGGATTAGCAGCCATCTCTTTATTAATGTCTCGGCTGGTGTGTGGTCACTCTAACATAAAGCTCGCGTGTGTATGACTAAAGAAAAAAACTAACGGAAGACTGGACTGGCTCAAGTTGGCACGAGCAGCTAGCCCAGAGGCGTTCATCACACATGTTCTCGTTCAAGTTTTGTGTAGTCAGCTCAACAGCTTTCAGCAAACGCAAGCAAAGTGATGTCGGCTCTCTCTCTCTCATTACAACTGAAGCTCAACGACGTCGACGCCCCCGACGCAGCTAAACGCATGGGCACTCAATACAACACGTGTCTGAGTGAACTGATAAGCTCCTCCAGCAGCCGGCCAGCCAGGAGAAAAAAAAAAAAAAAAAGGAAAGTGATAATGTAAGCAGCCTGAGAATTTGAGCCTGCTGCTCAGCCTGTAAATGATTCATTATTTAGTCTATAGAACAGCAGTGAAAAATGACACATCACAATTCCCCTCAGCCCAGTGTGTTTTTATCCGACCAACAGTCCAAAAACCTAAAGGTATAAATGAAATAAAATAGAAAAGTAAAAAAAAAAAAGAAAAAAAAGAAGTGGAACTTTAATAAATGACATTACTGATTAGTCGATTATCAGAATAATTGACATTTGAAGTTGGATTTATCACGTCTCTTCCATTAAAAGTCAAAATCCTCAAGAAATCAAGATCAGACTCCTGTATGAGTGAGGATGCTAAGTAGGTCATGGGTAAAAAAACAAACAAAAAAAAACAACGTAATATTTGTTACTTGCACAGACCTCTGTTTCATGATAAACAGTGTTACAGGCCAAGTAACAAGCTGTAGGCATATCTTATTCCGAGCTCAAATAAGAAGTAGACATGAACTAGATCTGTCAGCTTATGTTAAGTTATAAGCTTTGTGAAGGAATAATGAGAACACTGAGGCCATCGTCAGGTATTCATTAATACGGTGGGAAAAAGTCTATTACTACACGATGAAACTGAACAAGTCGATTTGCAGGTATTTAAACCCCTGACAGCTGCTGCGCCTCCTCTCCCGTCCCTAGCTGCTCTTCGTTGATTGTTTTTCAGTGTCTCTTCTTCTGATCAAAAATAAATAAATAAATAAATAAAAATCTGCAGTGTAAATCATCACATCAACATATTTACTCCGTTCAGCAGCAGCACCAAGAGCTTGGTTTTCAGTGTTGGAGAGTGTGCGAGTCTTCCACACTGTGTTAGGTGAGAGTTCTTCTTCTTCTACATTATGGGTAATGAGCTCTGCTCTCTGCCCTCTCTCTCCCCCGTGGGCCTTGCGCAACACCTTAATCACTCCCCCTGTGGAACAGACCTTTGGTTCCACCTGCCCTGCTGTGCTCCGCTCTTGATATGGTGATGTTCCAGTGTCTTACTCTTTTGCTCTCTCCCTCGCACTTATACACACACACACACACACACACACACACACACACAAACACAAACACACACACACGTCTCTGAATCTTTCTTATCTCAAATATAAAGCTGTTAGTGAGGTTAAGGGTGTGTTGAGCTGTTAGAGTCGTCGCAGCATCCTGAGCAGTTTTGAACCCAACCATCGCTTTTCTTTTCATTTATTTTAAGAACAGGATTTTGATCACTTCTTATTGAACTTTCCATCACTTCTGCAAAACTGTAAATAATAATATTTTATCCTCAGTTTCATCTTGAGGCAGTGTAGTTTACTAAGAGGTCTTGCACCAATCCATGTATTGTTAATGTGACTTATACTGTAACTGGAGTTACACTCATCTACTTTCTGTTTAACACTTTTCCACGATTGGAACTGTGGAGGGTCTACAACAGTGAAAGTGACATGAATAATAAAAATGATAGTAGCAAAACAATTAATTTAGTGTTCGTCAAAACAAAATTACAAAGTTAAGGAACAAAATTAAAAAAACAATGCAGTGCAACAACTGATTATAATCAGTCAAATTAAAGCACAGAGAATGAGACGGAGTAAAATACCCAACAATAAAATAAGATACAAACTGTTAAATAAACAAATAAAACGTATTGAAACTGGAAAAATAAAACTTTAACTTTAACATGGGCTTGTTAAATAAAACGGTTTTGTGAATTGATTTAAAAGAGGCCGCTTTCTGAAGACTAAATGTGTTCTATCTCTTACATTAAAAGAATGAAAATGATTTACAACATGGTAGCTTGTTAATCCGTGTACCAGGTTTAGCCAAAAAGCATCAACCATGGAGCAGAAATATGATTTCACAGTTGACAGCGTAGAGCCAGAGTTTCACCCGCACTTCAAACAGACACTCATCCGCTGCCTGCCTGTAATTATCTGCAAAACTATCAGATTTTACCTCACTCTATGATTCAGAAGTTCAGGGAGGGCTTTGTTTGAAGTGGAAATTACTGGAAAAAGATTTGAACTTGTTGAGATGCTGTACCTGACTTGTGCAGCCAGCTATGCAGTTGCGTTGTGTAGTGGGGTTAATTTCTGCCTCTTGTTTTTGAATTTGTTTTAAACTCATTAAAAGATTTACCAGTATTTCTGCTACCATTGGCTGTGATGTGAACTTCACCTCCGCAATGTGTAGCAATGACTGCTGAGTTAGTCCCTTTTTATAACTGCTCCAAAAAGGACTGGCTCATCAGAGGCTGCTCAAGGGTAAAACACTTGTTTATTTCTTCTCATTTTTTGATTGAAATTTAAATTTGATATAATTGCGCAGGAAGGGCATCTTGAGGATGTTTTTTTATTCCTTTCTTTTTTTATTCAGCTGTTGCCCATTTCAAGGAGATCATTTTGAAATTCAAGTTTGAGGCATAAATTGTTCCCCAAAGAACTTGTTTAAGGAACCACTTTCAATAAAGTTCTTTTTGGACATTTTCTAAATGGTTCTTCAGCAAACTTTGGAATTGAATCGATTTGAAATTCAAATACTATATGTAGTGTGTAAAACAAGTGCTTGAACATAGCTCTTCTTCCGTTCTCATTCTGTGATCTTTGCATTTTGTCAGGGAACCTCTCTGAATTAGAGCTGAGAACATGTGAATACTTAGGTTTCCAGACAAGCAGACAGGAAGTCCCAAAAACACACAGTGAAGCAGGCAGGCACACGGACAGACAGGCAGATCGGGAGAAACCGATTCAAAGTGACAGAGATGGGGTTCTGACGACAAGAAGTCCTGATGTCTCTGACACGATGGGCGATTAAACCTTTACACCCGCCGCCACTTTCCGAGAGGGCGGTGGAGAGCGCTTTTTTTTTTATTTTTATTTTTTTATCGTTCTCACTCGAGTGTTAAATGAGTGGAAGTCTGGAACCTTTTAACACACAGCCACTGGAGGGGGGTTGAGGTGAGGCGAGAGGAGAGGAGGTGATGTGAGGGGGGGTGAGCGGTGATAATTTTCCCCCTCCAGTCTCATCCTGTCATGTCAAAGCATGAGTCAAAACAGGCGTTTTATGGAAAGAAGAGCGCCTTGGAGATTTAAAAACAAGTGCCCTAGATACACCTGCACTGCACTTCAGACACATGCATGCAAGGACACACACACACGCATGAACACTCACAAAAATATATATAAGTGAATTTCAGTTTTTCCACACTCAGAGGTTACTGTATTCTTGGGTATAGGAGTAGCGCTTTATTGACTTTCAGTGTAAAGATTACAGGTCAATACTGTATGTATTGGAAACCTGATACAATAAGACTCAGCAATACAGCTACACCCATACGCCCATACACAACCAAAGATCGAGGCAAGTCCACACTAAACCCTAGCGTATGACTGAAGTCAAAGAAACTCTATATTGTAAAGCACCAAGTCAACTGAAGGAAAAGACTTTGATTATAGTGTTGCTGTAAACTGTAACTGTTCTCAAACAGTGTGTTACTTAAGTAAGTTAGTTACGTAAGTATGTAAGAGTTAAGTTTTACTAAAGAAACATTTTTAAAAAAGTGAGCATGGAGATTCATATCTTTTCTGGGATCTTTGAACCATATCCCCTTATAACTCTTCATCTCAGGTGTCATCATGGGACCTTTGTATATAACTTTTGACTTTCTGGCCTTCTTGACCTTAATACTTGAACAGAACCAGGGATCTATTCAATCTGATGTTATCAGATTTTTCTTAATTATCCTTATCTTATTAATACCTGCCTAAACGTGCAATACTTTCTCTCTTTTTACCAAATATAAACTATTGAAAGTCGCTGGAAAAATTTTCTACCACCAAAATAAAAATCACCCAAAAACATCTTTCAATCACATCATAAGGCTTTATCCTCCAGATTATGATCTCAGCCATCCAATTGTTGCCAGGTAACGGTAAAATAAGTTGAAATACAATAACTTATAAAAGAGGGCACGGATCACAGGTCCTATCACAGTGTCAGGAGCCGCTTTTCATTCACTGTTAAAACCGGCCGAATTCATGCGGAGGTTACTTCAGGTTGGAGACTGGTTTGTCTGCTCGCTGCACCATCCTGCCGCTCTTGTTTTGCCACGACCGGACATTATTAAGCAGCTATCATCTCGCTTTGAAAAGTGGTGTAGCTGCTGGTGAGGTACGGTGAGTAGGCGTTGCAGAGGGCTCATGCGCAAAGTGATATAGCAACCTTGCTGTTCTGCCCTGCTGCTCTGTGTCCTCTCCGCCTGCCGAGGACCGGGGCCAATGTTTGTTTGTTGGCCATCAGCTCATCGTGTAAACTGGAGAAAAGCCCAGAGGGAGAGGTAGAGAGAGCGACAGAACAAAAAGAAAAGCAGGTGAGGAAGGGGGGGGGGGTTGGTGAAAGAAGAAGAGCCATCTGCTGTTATGATTTTTATAGGAGCTTAAGGTCGATCCAAGCTGGATATCAGTATTAATTTATACCATCTGATACTCTCTAAGGGAAGGCTCTGAAGCAAGAGTCACATAATGTTCTGCCTTTTCTTGTTTCTCC